GTGGAGAGTGGGCCGAGGTGGAGGGTCGAGCACGTGGTGGAGAGTGGGGCGAGGTGGTGAAGGATGCGAGGTGGAAGGTGGGAGCAAGTGTTGGAGATGGGTATCTGGTTGGAGAAAGGTGGGAGGCGGAGGGTCTAGCAAGAGGTGGAGAGATGTGGGAGGTGGAGGGTCGAGCAAGTGGTGGAGACAGGTGTCAGATTGAGAGAGGGAGGAGGTGGAGGGTCAAGCAAGTGTTGGAGACGGGTGTGAAGTGGAGAAAGGTGGGAGGCGGAGGGTCTAGCAAGAGGTGGAGAGATGTGCGAGGTGGAGGGTCGAGCAAGTGTTGGAGACGGGTGTGAAGTGGAGAAAGGTGGGAGGCGGAGGGTCTAGCAAGAGGTGGAGAGAGGAGGAGGTGGAGGGTCAAGCAAGAGGTGGAGAGATATGCTAGGTGGAGGGTCGAGCAAGTGGGAGGGATGAGTGAGGGGGATCGAGGACGCGAGGGGACGCAGGTGGATGCACGGGAAGTTACGCAAACCCGCGGCCAGATGCGGCTCGGTACTTTTGATTAACCCCCGCCCCCCCCTTTACATACCCCCCTCCCCCCCTTTACATGCCCTCCCTCCCCCTTCCCCCCCTTTACATGCCCTCCCTCCCCCTCCTCCCCCCCTTTACATGTCCTCCCTCCCCCTCCCCCCCTTACATGTCCTCCCTCCTAATCCCCCCTTTTACATACCCCCTCCCCCTCCCCCCATTACATACCCCTCCCTCCCCCCCCTTTACATACACCCCTCCCCCTCCCCCCTCTGCCAACCCTCTTCTTCCTCCTCCACCTTTTGACTCCCCTCTTCTTCTCCCCCTCTTATTCTATTCTCCTTCTTTCCTCACCTCTCTTCTCCTTTTCTTCTTCCTTTCTATTTCACTTCTAATCCCTCTGCCTCCTCTCTCCCTTTTCTCCAGTTCTCCTCACCTCCATCTCCTCTTCTCCCTTTTCCTCCTCCCCTCCATTCTCCTCTTCTCCTCCCCTTTCTTCTTCTCCTCCATTCTCCTCCTCTCCTCCCTCCCCGCCCTCCCCGCCCTCCCCCTCTACCCTCGCTCGCGGCCAGCCAGCCCCATAGTCCTTGTCAGTCTCGTTGTCTCCTCTGTTACTCGTGTCATGATGCAACACTCGTAAGCACGCGGGTACGCAGCCACTTATGCACCGGCCAGACACACCCTTGCACATGCGAACGTACACATAGACACACGCATCGACGCACAAAAATAAAACGCATGCCTAAGAGACAATCGCTCTCTCTTTCTCTCTTTCTCTTTTTCTTTTTCTATTTCTTTTTCTCTTTCTCGTCTCGTTCTCTCTCTCTCTCCTCTTCTCTCTCTCTCTCTCTCTCTCTCTCTCTCTCTCTCTCTCTCCTCTCTCTCTCTCTCTCTCTCTCTCTCTCTCTCTCTCTCTCTCTCTCTCTCTCTCCCTTCTCCCTCTAAGTCTTCCTCTCTGTCTCTCTCCCCCCGCCCATTCTCCACTTTCTTCCTCTCCGCTCCCTCCAACTCTTCTTCTCTCGGCTCTCCTTTCCCCGCCCTCTCTCTCTCTCTCTCTCTCTCTCTCTCTCTCTCTCTCTCTCTCTCTCTCTCTCTCTCTCTCTCTCTCTCTCTCTCTCTCTCTCTCTCTCTCTCTCTCACACACACACACACACACACACACACACACACACACACACACACACACACACACACACACACACCACACACACACACACCACACACACCTCCCCCTTTCTTTCTCCCCAGCTCTGTCTGTCTCACGGTCGTTTTTTTTTTGGCTAACTGGCATCCTCTCACCACCCTCGCAATGTTTGATTAAAGATCAATATTATCTTTCGGGAATGACAGGCGGTGTTAAAAACTTCTAAGACTTTGGGGGGGGCTTGTTCGCCGAGGGCTTTTTTACGGTTACGATTAATCAAAAGAATAATTATCGGCTGTTATAAATCATGGTTTCATTTGGTATTGAGAATATGCAGGTGGAAGAGCGTGACGTTTGGAAGGGCGATATGAGTTTCCTCTATTTAATGCCTTCCGGTGCAGGGCAGCAATTACAGGCGGAGCGATTTTAACGTTTTATGGATTCGTTGCTCGGGGTAGGGGAGGGGGGGGGGAGGGAGGTGCCAGCGCGCGCAAAAAAAAACTAAATTGCTGCTTGAATGATCGCTGTTCCTCTGCTCTTTTACATTCTCTCTCTCTTGACTTGTTCCTTTATTCATCCCCTTTTTTTCTTGTTCTTTGTCGTTTGTTATTATCTGCTCACTTTTGCATCATTGCCTATTTCGTTTTTTTTTTTTTAATACTATCCCCAACTCTCTCCTTTTCTACCTCCATCCTCTCCATCTCCCGCTCCCACCTACCCCCATCCACCCCTACCCCCCCATCGCGTAGAGACTCTTGCGAGATATCAGGGCAATTGTGAAGAGGATCGTGTGATGTTCGAGTGGAAAAATAAAGCCTCAGACTACGGGGGAGGAAGACTTCCCGA